CCTTTCGATCATGGTTGCCAGATTGTTTTCCAAACCCATGTTTTGGTATTGGACATGCTGAACCACTTCGTCAGCATTTTGGTTTCTGTTAACTAACCTTACCTCTGGGGCTATTACCCTAGGTTCTTCGACAGGTTGTTCTACAGGCTGTTGAGCCTGATTAATGGTGGTTTCTTCCTCTACAAATATCCCCTGATTTCCTCTTATTTGCGCCCTTTGGGGCTGTCGAATAGGTGGGGGTGCTCCAAAGAAGTCAGCCAAACGCGTCATTTGCGCTGTAACTTGCTGATTCGATTGAGTAGTATTTTGTATTAGAGGATTTAGCACTGTGCTCAAAGTTTGTGCCAACATTTGCACCATGTCATGGTTGCTTTCGTCCATCTGTTGCCTCAAGACTGCTGTCGAGGCATTTGTAAGGCCATGGGCTACTTGGGACGTTCCTCCTAAGAGTTGGGTCCTATTTCTATTCGCCATGCCTACTCCAGAGCCTTGGAGTGGCGAAGAAGCACTCACGAAAGGGTCTGAATAAGTGGACGCAGCATTCGTCAGGCTTGCCAATTCAGAAGTTGGCATACCATAGAATGGAATAAATCCTGGGGGAACCACTGGCCTTGTGCCAATATTTCCCCTTGGAGGGGGGGTTCCCAAAGGCATTCTGGGGCCTGAAAACGAAGTTATTGGCCCCGTGGTTGTGACTGACACTGCTGGTGTCGAACCAACATTCGTCGCTTCACTCACGGTCATATTAACCGTTGCTCCCACACTTGGTGGTGGAATTTCGTTATTATTTGGCGGATTCGCCATCTCCTCCCTTCTTCTGGCAGTATTATTATCGTTGGTGTATATTCTACCACTCCTCAATAACATACAACTCGAAAAGATGAGATTATTTTTCAATCAATCAACACACAGTCCCACCAGGTGTGCCAATTTGTTTACCTAGGGATTTGGTAAACAACCGCTGATCCTCCAAATGGTTACTTATTTGGTTACTCGCAGGATCGATCAGATTGATCCTATGGACATAGGTTGATTTTGAAGTTTAATTAAATTGGATAAGGCTTTAAGTAAATTGTTTAAGGTAAATTGCATAAAGGAAAGGCTTGGTAAATTAAACAAGGCTTGAATGTAAAGGTTCGACAGGAATTTAAAGGGGAAAAAGCATGTAAAATACTGGAAAAGTAAATGACTTTAATTGATAAAATTGGTGTTTCACACATACATTTCTCAACAATTCGTTCGCTCACACTGGGTACTTGAATCTAAATGAGTGACTATGTATTTATTGTGAACACACGCGAGAAACTACACGTCTACTCCTATTTATACAAAAACATTCCAAGTAACCGTCGGGCAGTTACACTGCTTCGAGATTAAGCCACTTGGCACGTTCTCCATGCTCGACGCTCCAGATCCTTGCACGTTTGCACGTAGTAACTGCTGGAAACCGTTTTCCCTCCAAAGCTTTGAATTTCAAACTGCTCCACTCTGGACCATCGAACACCTTCATCAAAAGACGTCTTCGACGAAAACCCCTTCGACGTCGAAGGCAATCAACCTTCTTCCTTGGAAGAAATCTTCTAAGTATTTGCCATCTTTCGACGGGCACTTCGACAGGCTTAGCCAGTCGAAAGCATCTTTCAGCTTTTAATGGCTGCCACCAATCAAAACAAAGGTGTCGAATTTAGGAGCCAACAGTACCAACTTAAAAATAAAATAAAAAAAGTGGTACGGCTTCGGTGCGTACCGTACGCGTACCGATACCCGGTAGAGGTATTTGATCTAAAATAGAGTACCCATGCTTCACAGGCAGGAGAATAATTGGTCGAATCGACGGCTGGAGACGTGGTTGTTTCGACCCCTGTTGGAACAACTGCTCCTACGGTATTATCGATGCCAGTGTCGCCAATAATATCTAACGGGGGAGTTTCCCCACCACAACCACTTAGTCTCCCCATTAACCTTATGGTCATAGGACCAACTATGGGGGACCCTAAGTTACCTTATCTTCCAAGTTTTTCATTTTCTATGAGTGGCAGAGAATATCCATATATACTGAAAACACAATGGCTTGTCGGATTTTCCTATAATCCACATCTTGCCTAAGGTTCAACCATAAATAACCCTAGTCGAATAGTGTCATTACCAGGAGGGTTAGGTTATACCCCCAGGAAACACTATCATTGAATACAACATCTCTCATGTCTATGAGGTAGCAAATGGACGAGAGTAACCACAAGATAGTGAACATGCTTACTCGAAAGATTGGTACGATATTCAATCCTTTGATTCAGAACACCAACCAGAGTTATGAGTTACTAGATAACCAGATACGTCGAATAGTTAATTTCTTTAGCGTTCCTCAGTCCCAGATGCGACCAACTCCTCGGATCTCAAATGTCAGGCCAGCATAAATGCTTTATAATGGAGCATCCTCTGTTAACCAAGGGAAACAAAATTTTGGATTTCGACCCATAGAACCTCCCACTCAAAGAGAGGATGAAGAGTATATAGGTAAAAATAGCCAAAAAGTAATGTTGGTGAATAGAAACTAGGACGCTGAACAAATGCTTAGGAACGTCCAACAAAAAAACTTTGGGGGGGGGGACATATAGTGAATATGGTCGAACAGATCTTGGCCCAAAATGGCCTTAACATTGGCCTCCATAGGCCCAACTACATGTCTCTATTGTCCAAGTACGTTCGACAGGCGGAACTTCCTAGGGAATGGAAGGTCCCTAAATTCACCAAATTCTCTAGTGACACAAATGAGTCCACGCTAGAACATGTCACTGGATACTAGATTGAGGCTGGTGATATAGCCAATAACGAGAATTTAAAAATGAAATATTTTTCAAGTTCTCTCACTAAAAATGCTTTCACATGGTTCACCACACTCCCTTTTTATTCCATACATAACTGGAGTCAGTCAGAGAGAGTCTTCCATGAACAATTATATATGGGGCAGTCAAATATTATCCTTAAGGAATTGACTAGTGTAAGACGCAAAGTGCCTGAATCAATAGATGATTAACTAAATAGGTTTAGGTTATTGAAGGCAAGATGTTTTATCCAGATGTCTAAACATGAACTAGTCAAGATGGTCGCTGGAGGTCTAGGCTATTCTATTAGGAAGAAATTAGACACCCAATACCTAAGAGACATGGCAGAGTTAACAGATAGAGTTCGACAAGTCAAACGCTTAAAAGTTGAAAAGGCTAGGTCGAATAAATTTCATAAGAAAGAAAAAGTGGCTTATATGGAAGCAAATGAAAATGAAGAGTATGACATAGAGTATGAAAAGGTCGAAGAAATTGATTTTAATGTGGAAAAATTAAAGCTAGGACCCCTATGTATGTAAACTTTTAAAACCATCTTAGGGGAAGATTCTTGTCAAACCCAAAAGTGATAAATTTGTCGCAAAAACTTATACGTTCGACGTAACTAAGTGTGACGAAATATTTGACCTCTTAGTTGCAGATGGCTAAATTATAGTCCTAAAGGGTTTAAAGACGCCACCTTTAGAACAACGAAAGAAGATAAGTTTTTTATTATAAATTTCACAACTTTTTTGGTCATAAAACTTCTCAATGTGTGCTTTTCAAGGATCTAGTACATGAGCACTGAAGGAATGAAGATTGAAGTTTTGCTACAAGGCCAAAGCTCCAATGCAAGTGGATGGTGACCCCTGCAGATCAAGGAGGCTCACTACGCTGAACAAGTCAAATGCTTGGTTGTCGAGGCTACTAAAGACCCTAACATGACCATGGAAGTAATATCTGAGGGGAGTACTCTGAAAAATTAAGGTAGTATATTCACATGCTGAGGAGGAATTGATTTATTTCCTCAATCAATATAAATTGAAAAACTTTGAAGTAATGATATGTCTAAAGTGTAGCACAATTTTTTATAAAAAGTCTATTAAAAACTTCGAAAACATCAAACTCCAGCCTCCAAAGCTGCAACTTGCTCTTTAGTCTCTTCTTTTTTTTTATTACACAACTCTTTAGACTCTTCTAAACAAATAATATCTAGAAATAATTTGTATATTATAATTTTAACTTACCTATTTTTTTTACTATATTATAACTTTCCTTTCTTATAAATTCATTTTCCTATAAATGTAGTATGTAGTAAAAGACCAATTTGATTGGTACACTAAGAAGAAATAAAATAAGGAAAAAATTTATATACAATTTTTTAGACGTGGTTTTTATTATTTTTCAATAAAAATATAAATGTACTTAAAGATCGTTTAATAAGTGAAAATAGAAAAAATTACATATGTGTAGGAGGAGATTATACTCTTGTCATATTTTTATTAGAAAATAAAATATTATATCTAAATTTTCTTCATAAAGTAATATGTAGTTGTTATTTTGTTGCATTCGACATCGAATGTAATCGGATTAAAAAAAATCAAATTTTAATATATTTTTTCATTAATTTTAAAATTAAAATATTGATTTAAAAATTAAAAGCATTCAATTTTAATTTAATCATCGCAAATATGCTAAATACTCTGTCTGTTTTATATTATATTTTTTAAATTTATTGAATAATTATTATATCTGATTTATATAAATTAAAAATATTAAATTCATTTGATTATAATATGAGATGGAGCAAATACATGAATGTGGTAACTATTGAAAACTGGCCCACACTATGAACTAGAAGAAGCTAGCAATGTTTTTGTCTTACTTCAAATTCATCCACCAATGCACTCATTAACTTAACGCGCTCTCACATTGGCCCTTATCTAGAAACCTCTTTAGCAACTTCCATAACGATTTCGGTTATTGCCACCTCAACATAAACAAAAAATAACGTTTGCAACACACGAAACTAATCTTAAAAAAATAAAAAGACAACCCAACAAAACAAACCTCAGTTTCTTGTTCTAATCTTCTTTTCAATTTTCAGTTCAATCCTTCATATCTGAATCTAAATACTACAATCTTTAACATTAAAAAAAAAAGTAAAAACATCCTCAGAAAATGTCCAACATCGAAGAAGATTCGTCTCCGCCGCCGAGGATACACATTCAGAGTCCACCACCTGCGCCATCTGCGACTGATGGGGCAAACCCGCCGCTGCACACCGGAGGAATTGCCGGGATATTGAAGAGGTGGAAGAGGGAAGATTTGATCAAGAGAGGATCATTGGGACTGAGAGGGATCGCTTTGCTTTTCTCTCTGATTTGTTTCATTGTAATGGCTAGCAACAAACATGGCGATTGGAGAGATTTCGATAAATATGAAGAGTATAGGTAGAAATCATAAACCCCTTTTGATCATTCTGTGTTTAGATTAATGGGTTTGAATCAAAATTTAATTTTTTGTTTGATGTTCATTTGGATTGTTAAGCAAATGTGTGTTCGGTCTAATGTGTCACAACTAACTCATGTGATTACGATCAAATTTTGTTTTTTAAATTATTAGTATGTCGACGTATTTGTGTCTGTGTCGTATTTGTGTTAATGCTTCAGAGTTTGTTGATGATGAGCTTGAAAATGATTTTGGTGAATTTTTATAGGTATGTGCTGGCAATTGCGATTTTGTCAAGTTTGTACACTGGAGCTCAAGTTTTTCGTCAAATTCACGAACTTTCTACCGGAAAGAAATTGGTTAAACCAAGTGTGGCAACTATAATGGACTTTTTTGGTGATCAGGTTTGTCATATCTTTTATTTCTCTATCATCACATTCATTTCTAGATGGTGTTACATTTTTATAATGTGACTATGATATACTATGGATAGTGAGAGTGTCATGAATCAAACTCGTGTTTCTTCGGTTGCAGTGTTTGAATGTTGCAATGTTGATCAAGTGGTTGAATGTTTTTTCGGTTGCAGTGTTTGAATGTTGCAATGTTTTTTGGTTGCAGATAATGGCGTATCTTTTGATATCATCGGCATCTGCAGCAATTCCTATGACAAATAGAATGAGGGAAGGCGCAGACAATATATTCACAGATGCTTCATCAACAGCCATTAGCATGTCGATTTTCGCATTCTTGTGTTTGGCAGCATCAGCTCTCATATCTGGCTACAAACTATCAGCTCAATCCTCCTATATCTGAAACTACAAACAAAATTCTCTGCATTTTGTTTCAAGCTTCGATTTCTTTTCTATAAATTACATTTGATGTATACCAATGCTGTTAAAGGGAAAGATTATGAAATACTGATTTCATATACAAATACAAATAATATGTATTTTCTTCATACAACAAATACAACAAAAGAATAACAGTGTTCATTAGTCGACTCATTTTTTGTATCTTCTGTGGATTAGTAGTGTCTGTGACTAAGATCATTCAAGTAAACTAGTAAATATTGATGATTGTTTGTTTCTAATCTCCTATGAATTGAATAAATAGAATCCTACATACGAAGTTTCGTTCCCAAATTTAATAGTCTTTCGACAAAAATGATTGAACGAATGAGTCGTCTTTCCTCTCATCCTTAGCCTTTAAGTATGCCGCGTCTGAGTATTGTGAATGGTTGGCAGATGAATCCATTGATCTTCCGAGAGATGAATATCCAAGCCTTCCATGACCCTGCAACAAGTCTGGTTGAAACGACTCGCGGTTTCCATTAGTAGGAAGACCGGTTTTATTATAAAGTGAATTTGTGAAACTTGATGCGTTTGAATAACAGTTCACCACTGAGGGCCTAATAGGTGCTGGTATAATGCTGTTGTTCATGGAACTTCTGTTCATGTTGTAACCTGCAGAACCGCGTGCAGCTGGTACGTCATGGTTGTGTTTCCCTTCGTAAGTTGTGATCACGGCTTTGATATCATGTGCAGCTCGCTCAACGTGTTTTCTCACTGAACAACCAGAGGCAGTGCATTTGTAATAGCTCCTGCAGATTTTAAACAAATGAGTAAGTTAAGATTTTGGTATTGGTAACAAATTGAAATGCATTTGTAACAACTAGGGTCTTTGTTTTCGTCGATTAATTTACCTTGCGTTAGGATTTCCTTTAACAACTTTCTGTCCATATTTCCTCCACCTAAAGCCATCATCTAGTATATCGATTTCACTCGTAGTTTGAACTACAACTCTAGGTTCTTTAACAGTTCTACTACCAGCAGCCGAATAGCCATCATTTTCAACATCACCCTTCCTGCAACAACGAGAATCATAATTAGTTTTACTTTAAACGAAATGCACTATACCTAAAATCGCGAGTGAAGTCATTAGTATACTTTAATTTTCTTATATCTTACCATCTTTTGGCATCCAGTCCAAGGGCATCGTCATTTCCACCAGAATAACTAGTCTGTGATGTTTGCTCAAACTCTTCCTCTCCCACAGACGCCGAAGAATCTTCTTGTATAGAAACCCGATCCATCACAGATTGATCAGAAATACCCGAGTTGGTGCACGACGAAGAAGGCTGAGAGTTTGCTCTTCTGTTAGACTGAGGCTTAGGGTGGTTATGAGTTCCCTTATACACAATTTCAGTAATATGTCCATCCAAATCCCTCTCAACTTTCTTCTTCATCGAGCAACTCAGATGCGTACACTTATAATAACTTCGCGGATTTTCGCTTCCTTTCACTTGTTTCTGTCCATATTTTCGCCAATTAAATCCATCTTCTGATCTCTTTTGCTCTCTAACAGATTGAGATACATTATAGTTAACATAGCCAGATCCAGTAACTGAGTTACCATGTGTTTCTGGTTTACTTAGTACTATATCAGTCGAAAAGCTCTGAGTTGAAGCAAAATCAGATTTTGACGCCGTCCTTTCAGACGAAAAGTCGCTTATCTTTGCCGGCTCATTGAACTTCCATATATCTTGTTTCTTAACTGGTTCCTGTTAAAGTATAACAAATATTTAATTAGCATACAAATAAAAAATCTATGACAGTTCCAAAGAAAGTTCTATATTAAACTAAGTTGTATATTCAAAAAGCACTTACCGGTTGAAACATGTTTGAGGAAGATTGAAAGACAGGTTCATGTTTTGTTTGAGTTGGAAAAGAGAAATCAGAGAAGTTTTTCTCATCCTTCTTGTCACCTTGTTGGTCTTGTTCCTTATTCCAGTTGAAGCTTTGGTTAGCAAAAGCCTCAGTAGTTGGAGAAGCAAAAACCTAAGACACAAACAAAACAAAACAAAACAAAAAAACATATCAGAATCAGAAACATCATAAAAAGTTGTTAATTTCCTAAACATAAAAACATGATTAAGTTAAAACTTACATTTGGTGAAGAAAGAAAGAAAGGTGAGATTAAGAAATCAGTTGGGCTAAAAGTAGATGAAAATGGTAAATGAAAAGAAGATGAAACTGGTGATTGTGAAAGAGGGAGAGAAGGTGGTTGAACAGATTTGAATTTAGGAACATCATTGAGTTCAGAAACTTCCCAGTTATGATGATTATGATGATGATGATGTTGATCATCTATAGTCATGTTTATGTTACTGTTTTTGAAAGAGAATGAATGAATGAGACAAAAGAAGAATTTTGAAGACTTGGTTGATGATTTGAGGTGTAAGAAGAGGAAGGAGAGTGGTGAGATATAAGGGAGAGAAAATAAGAGAAGGTGAATGATTGAATGTGGTGAAGGGATAGCAAAAGTCTTGGAACATGTTGTTTCCTAGAAGGTGAAGATTTGTTTGACTGTTGAATAAGCATGGTTGGTCAAAAGTCAAGAGTTGTGGGTTTGACTAGTCTTAGGGAGGTAGAGGGTTCTTTTGGATTGGAAAAGAAAATGAGAGGAAAGTAAAACGGAAGAAAGAATGTTGGAGGAACGAAAGGAAGTGAAAAGTGAGAGAAAAATAAGAAGATACATTGATAGTTGAAAGAAATAAAACAATAAAAATTGAGTGTGGTCTACAAAATTGCAAAATCACATATAAATTGATATTCTTTATATGTAAATAGTAAATATTAAGTTATTAAATATTATCTCAATTAGACCTTTGATATTCTTTAGTTTTTCAATTAACAATTGCAATAACTCCACTAATAAATTGTACTAGTATTATAGAACTCATTCACATTTTCCATTATGATTTTAGTACAAATACTCAGCTTTTCTTCAACTACTCCCAAGATTTCATTTTAGAAACTTATGTGACCCTCTATATTTTATTTTATTTTTCTTTGTCATCTTTAGCTTTGTTTGTTTCACTGTATTTTTCTAATTTTCAGTTTTGCGGAGAATGATTACAAAGAGATTCATCAAACTCCATGTGAAAGAGATTCATTAAACATTTTTTTAATCGAGTGAGAAATTTCTCAGTTACATGATTATTTTTTATATCTCTAGTTTGTAAGATAATTTTTTCTATTTGATCTACTTTATAATTTGGTTCCTTTTTTATCTAATATACATCAAAAGATAATTGATTTAAAGAGCGTTGTATATGTTAAGGAAAATAAAGATTGATTATTATGGTTGTTTGATGTCCGTCCATGAGATTCAAAAGATGAAGGTCCAATAATAAAATAAGACTGAAATAATGAAATATATAATATGTAGTCTTTTTTTGTCTCTTTCTCTTTGAGCAGGTAATTCCACACACAAGAACTTTGTCAGCCGTCTAAGTCAATTTGACAGATGATCGTGATTCAAGCTTTCTCACATTCGAATCCATTCTCATCTATACGTCTCTTTTCACTCTCATATGTTGACTAGAGGGTTGAAGTGTCAATATTGAAGGTCAACCCCTTTCCATCGCATTGAAAGCTCAGAATTATTACAAAAAGCTTTGAGTCTTTAGTATTGATTAACTCTGGTTCCACTACGAAACATTGGCGTTGAATTTCGTAAACGGTTTATTATTCCTAAGAATTTCCACAATTTGATCTCTCGTGCTCAATCGGATCTCCTCCATCAGAAGTTCGGATACAAATTTCCTAATCGCTTCTAGAGAATTTTAACCTCATTCCTTCACATCTTTCCTCATATCTCCTTTAGATTCATCTACAGTCCTGGCTTCCAAAGCTACTTGTTTTTTCGTTCTATGACAATTCATTTTTGCCATTGTTGAGACTATCAGAGGTCAACAGCCTCCTCCTTAAGGGAAGAACGATCAAGTCTTGGTAGCTTCTTGTTGTATCTCAAAATTTGTCTTCTCATTTTCTCAAGAATTCTCTCGCATGTGTGGTTACAAACACCTATTTAAAGGAAAAGAAAAAAAATGAAAAAAATTGAAGATGTTAATATGTCTTTCGACGGATCGAAGGTGATGGTCGAAGAAAAAGAAAAATGAAAAAATTGAAGATGTTAATGTGCCTTTCGACAAGTCAAAAGTTTGCTTCGAATCCACGTCCTTCGATTGGGCATCTAGGCTTCCTTCGAGCAGGCTTGAGACATCCTTCGATTGGGCATCTAGGGTTCCTTCGAGCAAGCTTGAGTCATCATTCGTTTGGGACATTGGTTTCCTTCGAAGCAACCTGCTTTGAGTCAACCTGCTTCGAATCAACCTTCATGCACGCTTCGAATTCACCTCTAAGCTTACTTTGAACCCTCCTACATGCAGGCTTCGACAGGGCATTGACTCTTCATGTAAACCTTCATTTGAGCAATGGCCTCTTGTATGCTTGCTTGGAGTCACAAAGCAGTGACCTTCTGCATGCAGGTTTCGACAGGGAATTAGCTATTTTTACACTAGCTTCGACTGAATAATATTTCCCTTTAAAATAGTTTGCTTCGATTCCACCCTTGAAAACCTTCAACACACATGGTTGGTGAGCCCTTCAAAGGATATGTATTGGTGGATTTGAAAGACATACATAGGGGTCCCTTTCAAAGATATACATATGACCCATTCGAAAGACACTTGTTGGATGAAAATCAAATAATATTGCTTAAAGAAGGATCTGGTCGAAGGTGGTCAAAACGAAAGGTGGAGATATCAAAAGATGCTTGCTGCCAAGTTCAGGCCTAATACACTGGCCATAACGCTTCATAATTGTTGCACAGCAATTCTGAAACACTGCCCCTATTCTTGCACCAATTTGGCATACGAACACTGCCCCTCGAAAGCTACAAAAAATAGTTTACTCAATTTGTTCAAATTGTTTTGTTTTCCCTCCTAAACCTCAGCCAGCTTCGCCTAT